CAATTGTCCCGTGATCTTAGTCTTTGGAGAAATCCAAACAAGAGCGCCAAGATCTGAGTACAGCCTGGTCCAATCTTTTCAAGTCTGTTCCAATTGGGTAACAGTTAAGATCCTTTGCTTTCTCTAGTGCCTCTTTTCAAAGCAACCGCATCTCTCATGGGGCTCCTCTTCCTGCCTCATCAGCCTGCTCTGGCCTTCCAAGATCCATGGTCCGTTTGAAATCGGGCCAGTCCGCCTTCTAAGAGCTCAGCCTTTCTCCCACACCATATTTTCTTGTTCTCCTATCTTCTAAAGTTTGTTTTCAATCCCCCAATGCTCCTGTGCTGATTTTATCGAAGCATACTTTTTTAATGACTGCATCTCCTCCCTGATTTCCTGGACAAGCCTGACTCCTAGAGACAGTATTTCAAGGATGGAACTCTAAATTGCCTGTGGGTTTGTAATAATTTCGCTGAATTCTTTTCTCAAACTACAAAGATAGCATATTATAATTATCTTCTCACATTCTTTTCTCTTCTACTTTTTAAAATTTATAATAGGCCTTACAATTTTAGATTTACAGAAAAACTGAGCACAGAAAGTTCCCATATGCCTTCCTTCACACAGGTTCCCCCGTTACTAACATCTTGCATTAGTGTGGTGCATTTGTCACAATTACTGGAGCAATATTTATACATTAACTAAGTCCATAGTTTGCATTAAGTTTCATTCTTTGTGTCTTAACTTTTTTTTTACTCATTTTGAAATAATTTTTTAACTTACCCAGAGCTTGAAATAGTGGTACAGTTCCCTTTAATCAATTTAATCGATTTCACTGAATGTTAACATCTTACACAATCATATTGCAATTACGAAACCAAGAAACTGTCATCGATATAAAACTATTAACTACAGACTTCGATGAATTTCACCAGCTTTTCACTAATATCCTTTTTTTTGTTCTAGGATCCAACCCAGGATCTTACATTCCATGTACTTATAAAGCCTTCTTAGTCTCCTCCTCAGAAAATATTAAGGAATATACAAAAATTCTAGGACTAATAAGTGAGTTTAACAATGTCATGAAGATACTAAAAAATCAATTGTACTTATAATCTAGTAATTAAATATCTGAAAATGAAAATTGAAAAAAAAAACAATTCCATTTACAATATTAAGAATTAAATATTTAGAAATAAATCCAACAAATAGTACAAAATCTAAACACTGAAAACTACAAAACATTGCTGAGGAAACAGTACAGAAATCCTGAACCAAAGCAGAAATAACACCATGCTCTTGGATCAAAACACTCAATGTTAAGACGGTAACTGATCTGTAGATTCAGTGCAATTCCTGTCAAAATCCCAGCATGTTTTTAAAAACTTAAATAAATAAATAAATAAAAATCCTGAATTCATAAGAGCAGAGAGTAGAATAGTGGCTGCCAGGAGCTGGGGGAAATGGTGAGATGTTCAAAGGGTACACATTGTAGGTAGAAGTTCTGACAATTTAATGTACAGTGTACTGATTGAAATTAACATACTGCATTGCATACTTGAAAGTTTAGAGAATAGATCTTAAATGTTACAACCACACACAAAAAAATGATAATTATGTGAGGGGATGAAGGCATGAACTAACCTTCTTGTGGCAGTCATGCGTGTATCAAACCAACATGTACACCTCATATGTGTTATCAATCAATAATGTCTCCATAAACTTGGGGGAAAAAAGCCCCCCAAAAAATAATGGTTGAAAATCTGATCCTAAAATTTTTGTCAAGAATAGTTAAGAAAGAACATAATTAGAGGAATTACACTGCCTGATTCCAAACCTTACTATAAAGTTGTAATAATCAAGACCGCATGGTGTTGCTTAAAGATAGACACATAGATCAATGGGAAGAGAATAGAGTACAGGTATAAATCTACATGATTGTGGTCAACTGATTTTTGACAAAGGTACCTAGGTAATTCAAGGGAAAATAATATTTTCAACAAATGGTGCTGGAGCAGTTGGATACCTACCTGCAAAATTAAAACGAGATAGCGCTGTACACCTATTAGAACAGCTAAAATACCAAACACTGGCAAGACCAAATGCTGGCAAGAATGGGGAGCAACAAGGGCACCTGGGTGGCTCAGATGGTTAAGCGTCTGCCTTCGGTTCAGGTCATGATCTCAGGGTCCTGGGATCGAGTCCCGCATCGGGCTCCCTGCTCCTTGGGAGCCTGCTTCTCCCTCTGCCTCTCTCGCTCTCTCATGAATAAAAAAAAAAAAAAAAAAAAATCTTAAAAAAAAAAAAAGAATGGGGAGCAACAAGCTCTCATCCATTCAATTGCCCATAACTTTTTTTTTTTTTAAAGATTTTATTTATTTATTTGAGAGAGAGAATGAGATAGAGAGAGCATGAGAGGGAGGAGGGTCAGAGGGAGAAGCAGACTCCCTGCCGAGCAGAGAGCCCGATGCAGGACTCGATCCCGGGACTGCAGGACCATGACCTGAGCCGAAGGCAGTCGCTTAACCAACTGAGCCACCCAGGCGCCCTGCCCATAACTTTTTAGGTCTATTTCTGGATTCTCTATTCTGTACCATCAATCTGTATCTCTCTTTGCCATCTCTACACCGTCTTAATGACTGTAGCTTTATAATAAGCCCCCTAAACAGAAATTGTCCTTTGTTCTTTCTTTTCAAAATTGCTTAGGCTGTTCTAGGTCCTTCGCATTTCCCTATGAATTCTAAATTCTACAATCAGCTTGCTAATTGCTGTCTCAAAAAGTCTGTGGGGATTTTACTCGGAATTGCATTGTATCTATCGGTCAGTTCTGGGAAAACTAACCCTTAACAATATTGCATCGCCCAATCCATGATCTTGGTGTATTTTTCTATTTGTTTATCTCATCTTTATTCTAGGCATTGTTTTGTACTTTTCTGTGTACAGGTTCTGCATATGTTTTCAGATTTACCCCTGAGTATTCACATTTTTGATGCTGCTGAAAATGGTATTTTAAAAAATCCCATTTCCAATAGTTTGTTGCTAATGTGTAGAAATACTAGTTCTAGTAGCATTTTGGCAGATTCCTTAGACTATTTCATATACATGGTTCTCGGAAATGTTTCTTTCTTCCTTTCCAAGTAGTAAGCCTTTTACTTTTCTTCCTTTGTTGCTCAGTGACATATTGCACTAGCAGGACCTCCAGAACAATGTTGGATAGAAGTGGTGATAGTGGACATTCTGGCCTTCTTCCTTATCTTAGGGAAGAAAGTATTCATTTATCATTACTTTAAGGGTAAGTTTCTCGGTCATTGCCTTTTATATTAATGCAAATTCCTGTCCATTCCTTCTCTGAGTTTTCAACCATGAATTCTGAAACATAAAATGCTTTTTCTTATTGAAATGAACATATTTTTATTTTGATGACATATTACATTTTTTAGTATTAACCAAATTTGTATTCCTGTGGAACACTCAACTTGATCTTGATATATTATCCTTACAATGGATAACCGGATTCATGTTGCTAGTATTTTGCTGAGGTCTTCTGTGTCTATTCAAGAGGACCATGTATTGGTCTGTAATTTCCTTTTCTTGTGGTGTCTTTTCCTGGCCTGGCATGAGGTCAAAGTTGGGTCTCCAAAAGTGTTCCTTTCTCCTCTATTTTCTGTCAGTGCTTGTGCAACATTGAGATTTCTTCCTTAAATGTTTCATAGAATTCACACTCAGGCCTGGAGTCTTGAGGGAACATTTTTAATTACAAATTCAATTTGTTTATTTTTGAGTCACTTTCAGTAATCTGTCTTTTCAGGAATTCTTCCTCTTCATGTAAGCGGTCAAATTTTATTGGCATACAATTTTTCATAATATCTTTAAAAATTGTTTGTTGGACACATGGTAATGTTCCCTCTTCCATTCTAATTTTTAATCAGTCTATGTAGGAGTTAACCAATTTTATTGGTTTGCTCAAAGAATCATTTTGGTTTATATGGTTTCCCTATTGCTTGCACATTTAGTAGGTCATTAATTTCAGCACATATTGTTCCCTTCCTTTTCTATTTTAGTTTTAATTTGCTTGTTTTTCTAGTTTTTAAATCTTAGATCAGTGATTTTGCACCATTAATTTCCAGTTTTTTAAACTGAGGTATAATTGACAAATATTAGTTGCAGATATACGTGATTTGATATCTGTATATATATCTGTATATATTGTGAAATGATCATAGTAAGTCTAGTTAAAATCTGAGTACCTTTCTAATATAAGCATTTCAATCTATAAATTTCCCTCTAATATTGCTTCAGCTGCAGCCCACATATTAGCATGTTGTTTTTATTTTCATTCAATTAAAAATGTCTTCTGATTCCACTTGTGACTTTTCTCTTTGACTCATGGTTATTTTACAAGTATGTTAATAATTTCCAATCATCTGGGGGGGGGGTTTCCAGATATCCAATACAGATTTCCAGTTTAATTCCATTGTCATCAGAGAACATATTATTATTTCAATTATTTTAAATGTATTGAGACCTGTTTTATAACCTAGTATACTGTCCATCTTTCTGCGTATTCCATATGCACTTGAAAAGGAAATTTCTGTTCTCATGTTGTTGGGTGGAATGTTGTGTGTCAATTAGGTCAAACTGAATGTTCACATTTTTTCATGTTCTATATCCTGATTTTCTACTTGTTCTATCAACTATTGTTATAGGAAGGTTGAAATCCTGAATTCTAATTGCAGATTTTCCCATCTCCTATTCAGTAATATTACTGTTTGCTACATGTATTTTGATATTCTAGTAAAAAGCCTATAAATACATTTTCTTAATTGTAATTTTTTTGTGGACAAAAGAGAGACTGATAGAGACCTGTAAGTATAAAGGCAGGCAACATTCTATTGGAAAGTGAAATGGAAAGGCAAAAAAGAGAATGTAAAAATACGTAAAAGTTCCCAACTTCAGGAAAAAGCTTGCTCCTGTATTTTGAAAATAGACGTTAAGTAGCAAAAACAACTGATTCTATTACATACATTTAAAAATAGCAGGTTGATTTTAATATGCCAATATTTACAAACTGGAAGTCACACCTTCTGCAATTGTTTAAATTTATGATGAACAGTTTCAAATGGCAAAATCAAAGCTCCACGGCCCACAGCAGGGTCCTCAGCCGTGCGTAACTATATTGGCCTTGTCCTCCCCTCCCCCACTCTTTCATCTTCCTCACTCCAGCTTCCTTGGATGATCTCTTAAACACAGTAAACATACTTAAGTTTTGTCTTCAGATCCACTTTTAGGGGTACCCAATGATACAGGTACCAGGAGCAGATAATTTTCCAAAATTCCTATACAGAGGTCAAAAAACACTCAAAGACCATTTTTTTGGTTAATGCACATATTCTATTTCCCCCAAGCCCCACTACCTACAAATCTAATTATCTTTCCATTCTTTTGCCTCTCTGGCTCCTTGTACTCTTCGATATCACCCATCTCTGAAAAATATGTTTTTTATGTTTCTATTAGCCTATAGACTACGACCTGATTAGTTCTATATCCAGCCACATAACCTGATGGCTGGCAAATGGATGACACTCTATGTGACCACTGCATTTAATTTTCAACTTCACAATTTAATCAGAGCTTCTAGGTACTTTGCTTCATTTAACTCTCAACACGGTTCTGTTAGGGATCATTCACATTTGATAGATGAGGAAACCCGAGCTCAGAGAGATCACTGCTGGTAATCTGCCAGCGTGAAAACGTGAGTGGCAGAATTGCAAAGCTCATGCCTGCCCCACTAAGTGCCAGGTGCAGCGTTCCCTGATGTCGCTCCTCGTTATTCCTGCTGAGGAGGAGCGACACGAGGGAACGCTGCATGCGGGAACAATGCAGGGTACGAGAGGAGCCCTTGGATATGGAAGAGAAATTGAAGCTTGAATAACTGCCCAGGTTTGTAGAGACACAACAAAGGAGAATCTTCCAGAAGAGGGAAATGTTAAGGAGGCAAGACATGGAAACAAGCATAGGCCATCTAACAGTGAGGCTGTACTTAAATGAATTTGAGATCCGGATGACACAAAACTGATTTGAAACAGGGAGTCACCAGTGGTTTCAGAGAAGACAACTGAACTGACAACAACAGTTGAAATGCACCTCTGCTAGGAAGAGACCAGGACCACAGCGTTCGCATCTTGAACCCGCCACTTAAGTCTTACTGAGGACATGTTTCTAAATGTCTCTATACTTTCAGCTTCCCCGTCTTGAAAATGATCTTGTCTGACCAACTATCCGCACCAGCATCCAACAGGGTTCTGCAGGTAACGTACGATACTGGCACAAAGCAGGTGCTCAGGAAGCGTGAATCTTCTAGCCCGGCAAGTGACCGTTTTCATGAACTACAAGGAGGGTTAAAATTTCAGGAGGCCAGTATTAACACCTCCACAACATGATGTGATAAAAACTAGAGATGGCAAAGGGGGAAAGCAGCATGTTTTGAGCAGCCAGCTCAATGGGACAGATACGGGGAGACTATGAGTTACAAGCTGGGGCTCTCAGCGTAATGTCACAGCAGAGAGAGTGAAGGTGGAGGAGGTCAAGGTGACTGGAGGGGATATAGGGTGCTTTGTTTTAAACATGTGGAATAAGTGAGGGGAAATAAGTCAGTGAAAATAAGAGTGCTAGGAAATTATGAGAGTAACTGAATTCCTTTAAGGAAAGAGTGCATTGCCCTTAAGTTTGAGAAAAGTTAGTCAGTAGGACCACGCACAGGTATGAGGAAATACAAATTACATTTATCAGTACCATTCTAAGGATCCCTCCCACCGGTGCTCATTTGGTTCTGTCTGGGTAGCAATGAAAAGTTATCTTTTCAAGAAACACCCTCTCTAGTTTATTGCTTATACTTAACATATATTTGTTCAGAAAGATTAAGTGGAAAGAAAACTCATCCGAAACCTCTCACAATGGACTTACTTCTCAAAAACCAATTTATACTTTTAAACCGGGAAAGGCTCAGCTTACTTCAACCAAGTGTATATGTTGATATACTCTAAATTAAATGGGTATGTACATAAAAGTAATCTGACATAGATTTACTTTAAAAATCTAAATTAAAAAATTTAGGCTTTCAATTCATATACATAAAAGCGGAGCAAAAATTTAGTAATCTAAGTATTAATGGAACTTCTCATTTGCTGGCTGCTAACCAATAAACTGATCTGATTATAAGGTACTACAAGAACAATGCACATCAATCTAACTGTGGTCACCAGGGACCGAGAAGATGAGTATTACTAGGTACAAAGGGTCTTCTGTGTATGTGACAAGAATCTAGGCAACTCCACAATTCATAGGTTAGGGATGCTATTTGCTCCACTCTGAAGAAAAAAAAAAAAAAAGATACAAATTCAATGTCTGGAATTTAACCACAACAGGGAAAAGATTAGAGCCATTATTTTTTTAACACAAATGAAAGATAATATAGACATCAGGAAGTTTACGCCACACATGGAATATAGGCACTATTTTTTTTTTTTACTTTAATATACAAATTAAAGCAAGTACCCCAGTCACCTCTACTAAAGCTTTTCATTTGCCAGTAAGATCTCTGATAAAGTTAACGTATAATAAGTAAATACACAGGACCATATCTTATGTTTGTTGATCTTTGGCACATTTGTCAAGTTGGAAAATGTCAAAAGGCAATAAAAATTTCTAATGATGGTTTTGCACATTCTTTTAATCGTCTTCACATCAAAATATAAGGCCGCAAAAAGGCAAGCTGAAATATTAGGATATGTGGAATAGTTTTAATAAAGAGTTTTACATAGAGTACCTTACATATAGAACAGTGTGTTTGCAAATTTAAATAATATCTGAATGTACAGTGGCATGTATTCTTATCAAAGATAAATTCAAGTTTACTGTGTATCAGTTCTAAAATGCATTTACACAGATCGCTAGAACTGATAAACAGAATGAGGCATAAAATATTCAAGTGTTATATCATCAAATAGCCTCCTCTGAACAGTCTTTTTCCCCTTTTTAAAAAAGTTTCAAAACCTGTACATACATTTTTAATTTTTAAAAACTGTCTGTTAAAAGGTAACATTTCATGTTAACCACCAACTCTTATAGTCTATAGTAATAAAACTAGATATGTGCAGATATAAATATGTGTAGGATATGTACATATGTACGTTGAGTGTTTGTTTCAAACAAGCACACACGCTTACGCATACCTGCGTATGGAGCATGGCGGCGGCACGCAACTCACAAGAGCACTGGCAGACAGGAGGACCTGGGCCCGAAATCCAGCAAGAGCTAACTCAGCAACTTAGTTGCCTTTGGTTTCAGAAATCTGTCCATTTGTGATCAAAGCTAAAAGTTTTGAGTGCGCATGTATTTTTTAAAAATAAAATTCATCTTCAGAAATGAAGCTTTTCCAGTATTCCACTACCAGCAGTTAAAAAATCCACAGCCACAAATCATTTTGATATTTCTGTCACTCCTCATCCCAGCTGAGGTTATTTACAATTTTTATCTGAAGGCAAACACCAAGCATACTCAGGATCAAACTGTACGCTGACGCCTGAGTCCTGAATTCAACTATATATAGGACATTGACAGTCCACATGACACATCCCTGTTTCTGATGGGCTGACGGCATCCGCAAGACCTGGGGGCGGAACTCCCATGACATTTAACATTCTCTCTCCAGCAGTGTCATCGTCATTTGGCACACTGACCCTTCTGCAAGCCATTCTGTTTGTAATGAGCTTAATGCCTGCAAGAAATTCCAATTATTTGGCATTTTTAAAAATATATAATCATAATGAAGTCAGAATTCCACAATTGTTTTTCCTCACAAGTGAGGCTTCCACTGTCAGTTTTCTGATTAAGAACATTCATCACCTAAGATACAGCTCATGATCCCATGAAAGTTTAAATACTTATCTAAACTTCGGTGCAGCTGGATCAACTGCAGTGAAGACAGTTCGTATAGCAACCTTACAGAACTCTCCAGAATTTCCTTGCCTCTACAATTTTGCTTTTGGCCAAATGCTGGCTTATTACATGGATCTTTCTACTAAAAATTATATAAACACACCATATTTCTTTCTACACGTATCTCGAGCTTCATGTAAAGCAACTATTGAAAAACCCTGCCAACTCAATTTCCTTGGTATAAATTATATTCAACTTCATTGATCCCTGGCATATAACACATTATCATGTAGCTTGCTCATAATCTTTTTCTAATATTAGCTTCCTTGAGAAAGGTCGTTCTTCATTTTCCTTTCCAAGGTGCCATCCTATTGATGTCACACATCAGTAAATGACCAAACATCACTACGCTTTTTTAACTATCCACTCAGCAGTCATGTGGATAATAAAAATTATCAACTGAGGAGACCCACATTCTTTTCCTTAGGTTTTCACTGTTGTCATACAGAGCAAAGAGTTGCTATTTGTTGTACTTTGCCCATGTCAATCAGGAGCTGTTTGAGATGGCGTTTAAGTTGCGGCAGTCTTGCGAGAGGGTCAGGCGGCTCCAGCTCGCCTGTGAAATCGAGCCAGCTTTCCAGAACTGAAAGAGAGAACAGAACAAACAAACTGAAATGGCAACTGGAAGAAGTCATAACATGGCATAACTGGAAGGCTGGACAAGGATGGAGACAGAGATCATGTTCCTTCTTCTAGAAGGCCATAAATATACTCAAGCCATTTCGGAGAGGCTTTAGCATCCTTTCTATTATATCTTATCCCACAAGAGCTCCAGTCCTTCTTGGTAACTTCTGTTCTTATTTTAGGTACTTTTTCCCTTTGCAGGCATAAACTAATTTCATTTTGAATATCTTCTTCTACTCTCTTCTGGAATAGGGAACAGTTTCCTGTGCCTGCTGAAGCTGTCTATTATTTTAGACTTAAATCATCTCTACTTCATTTTAAATAAAACTTAGCTATTCTAACCATTCTTTTTTTAAATCAGGAAGTTCTTTTTAACAAAGGAAAGGAGGTGGCAATTTCTTAGTTTCCTTTTCAGTCCCACTATTTTATCATTACTTTAAAAAAAATGTAAGCATGTTAGAAGTCTAGGCAGAATGCAATTAGTTACTCCACACTTTTTATTAATAATAAGGGATAGTGTCAAGTTGCATTTTTTTCCCATCAAAAATCTACTCAAAACATTAAAGTAACAAAAAGCTAGCTTAAACTAAATGGAAGATGCTTTTGAAATCGGTTTCCATTTCCTCTTTTCTCAGGGAAAAACAAAGCAGCAGGAGCTCTAACTTACTGTGGGGTGAAATTAAAAAAAAGGGGGGGAATACAATTTTATGTATGAGGTTAGGAAAAAACCCCACTGGATTAGGAATCAGGTAATCTTACTCTATTTTCTCAACTATAAAATGGGGATAATCTTTCCTGTCCACTCCTCAGGGCCCTGTATGATAAAATGAAAAATATCAAAGAAAACCATTTGAAAATGTATGTGCAAACTTAAGGTTTATCTACTTGAGCTTGTGGGAGTTTCTTCTTGTTGTTAATTTCACTTCCTACTGACCACCGTGAGAGCAAAGATACAAAATGTTTCCCCCCATGTTTTAGATATGCTTAAGGCCCTTACACTGACTTCCAAAGAAAACGAAGTTCAATGAAACTAATGAAGATTCCATATGCGCTCTATATTGCACCCAGCAGATGGGCAGTATTTAATAAATATCCACCTTTAAGAAAAATGAGATAATATCCAGTCATATTGTTTCCAGCCTAAAAGACCCCAAACACCAGTTTTATTAAATGCGACGTGAAGTAACAAGATGCTCTATCAGCACGGACAGCATCTACAGTTCTCATCCCATAATTTAAAACACTTTACAGAACGTCTTCGTAACAACAATAAACACACTTTACATGCTATAATCACTGTATTTTAGTTCTTTCTTAAAATTACCATCAACTTCTTTTTCTATTAGGTCCATCCTGCTGGTAACTTCATTCTGCACATTCTCTATGTGTGTAAGGAGATTGAGCTGCCACTGAAGATGTGAGTCTCCTGGGTCTTCAGTGCCCTTTTTATCATTATAAATAAATACCGTATTCCTTTCAGCTGGATTCTTCTCCAAAGAACCATTGGAAAAAAACAAAATGGGTGAAATGTAATGTCATAACGGGAAAGATACATGAAACACCTCATTACCACAATGATCAGTGAAATCCAATTGGACTCTTAGAATATTTTAAAGGAAGTGCTAGCACATAATTAAATTATATCTGATGGTCCTTAAAAGAGCAGATATGCTTGCCATGTCACTCCACAAAGCCTAGCATGGAGCTCCACAGCGTGGAGAGCATCCAACAAGACATGCTAAAGAAATAAGTTGCTAATTATACTCTGTAACGAGAAAGCCCAGCTCATTTAGACTAACCCCCTCTATAAATGAATCTAAACTAATGACATAAGTGGAGTGAAGGCAGAAAGCAATGATGGAAAAATCATGGAAGTTGACAAAGGCCAGTTTAATTAACTGCAGACTGTAATTAACTCTTACAGGTAAATCAGTGAGGCAAGAGAAAGATAAAAATCTTTTAAAAACTTAAAAAGTACAAAACGCTTTACACATACACAAAAAATCTGAATTCAGACTCACCAGAAAGAATTCATTTCATAAAAGAGATGTTAATTTGACTAAATCATTTGCCACAAATACCATGAACTACAGACTTCCCAAATTTATTTGTTTACAGTGAATTCCTTGATAAAACAGGCCCGAAAAATAAAGAACTAATTTTAAAGTGGCATTGTTAGTTGAAAATCAATGAAAAATGAAGAAACAATATTTCTTAGACAATCTCTATGAACAGGAAAAAAGTTTATAGAAATCCAACGTACAAAGAGCCGTAAGAATTCAGTGTATCACATAATGGAATTGATATGCATAAACAAGTATGCTAAAATTTTAAAAAGAAAGACTGGAATGCCACCTTTTATCTGAAACACATATTGTATTAATATATACATACCCACACACACTTACACATTCTCACACATAGACATCTTCATTTGGAAAAAAATGTGGCTCATAGTTTTCGGAGGTATCTAAGTGCGCTTATAAAACTAAAACCTTGGGGCAAAAGTGTACTGAATTACTACAAAGGGGATAATTCAGTGTCCAAATGGCCAGTGTTTTCTAATAGAGAAAGCAAAAACTGTCTTTACCCAACAAGATATTTGTGAACTTGGAAATATAAACATAATTTTACTGGGAATTCAGTATGTTTTATTTCATAAAATTTTCCTATGGTCTATCATATTTTCCAAGCCAAAACAAATGAACTAGTTATACCTTTTCAGGCGTTCCATCTTCTTTCACTGAGTATTGTGAACGTTTTTTATCTTTTGTGTGGAATTCTTGTTCTTCTTCAAAACTACTAACATCATCATCATCTGAGCTCCCAGGGTCTGCGAGAGCTTTGCAGTCCTGACCAAAATTTTGTGGCTTTTGGTAACTGTGCTCACTTGTTATGTAAGTTCCTTCCATTTTTAGGGGCCAACGAGGTGGTTCTTTATGGTTCTGCACGTGGTATTTCCTTTCCTCTACATTAACTGTGTCTTGCACTGCTACTTTTTTCTCCACCCCAGCAATTCCTTGATCTTGGTCTTTTCGCTTCCCAGAACAAGCCCAGAGATGAAGGTCAGGATGACGTTTATTCCTTAAAGCAAAGTTGGAGAAAGAGCAATTCAGGGAAAAAAGAAAACAAGTTTAGTGCCATAATAAATTTCAGAAAGTAAAATGATACAGATAACCCCTGGTTGTCCGTGCCTTCTGTTCAGTGAGTGTGCTGACTCAGGCAGACTGATCCCCACTTCTCTGCTGAAGACCTAGACTCACCAAGAGAGCCAGGCTAGAAGGAGGGCAGGGGCTCAAGACAAAGGCAGAGGTATTCTTTAGGTAACTTGCCCCAGAATTTAAACCAAAGTTTGAATTCTCACAATTTTATAGAAATAATACTCGGGTAGAAAAGCAATGATGAGAGGCCCCTAGATGGCTCAGTGGGTTAAGCATCTGCCTTGGGCTCAGGTCATGATCTCAGGTTCCTGCTCAGCAGGGAGTCTATCTCTCCTTCTCCCTCAGCAACCTCCACCTCAGCTTGTGCTCTCTCTTTCTCTCTTAAATAAAATCTTAAAAAAAAAAAAAAAAAGGCAGGGACGCCTAGGTAGCTCAGTCGTTAGGTGTCTGCCCTTGGCTCGGGTCGTGATCCCAGGGTCCTGAGATCGAGCCCCACATCAGGCTCCTGCTCCGTGGAAGGCCTGCTTCTCCCTCTCCCACTCCCCCTGCTTGTGTTTCTGCTCTCGCTCTCTGTCAAATAAATAAATAAAATCTTAAAAAAAAAAAAAAGGCAATGATAAATGTAATTATCTTGATAGTTCACATCATTTGTTAGATGCACTTCTTTTCCTGCTGACTTCTCACCGTATTTTTTTAAATTGTACAAAACAAAAAACTTATATGAGCATATTTTAAAACCCTCATTCAATCAAAAAGTGATACTTGCTCATGACAAAAAATTCAGGCAATAAATGCATACAAAGTAAAAACCTCCCTACCATGGCAATCATAAAAAACTAAGGTATAATCTTTCAGACATTTTCTACACATATAAAATTATTTTTTAAATGGATAAGCATATATTTTCTCTTTTTATACAAATGGGGCCCTCAGTTTGCCTTCTTGATAGATAACATACATGGGCATCTTGTGCCCTCAGTACACAGACGTTTCCCTCACTTTTACTCTAGTAGCTGAACAGTATTCATGTACAACAGTCTGGGATCACCAGCCCACTCCCACCTACAGATACGTGTGCGTGTTCATGTGATCTCTGCACACGAGTGGGGATATTTCAGTCAGATACGGAGCTGCTGGAAAACTGGTACACATTTTAAATGGGACAGATACTGTCCAAGCGCCCTCCAAAGAGGTTGCACTGATTACGCCCTCACCCACAGTCTATGATAATGCCCTTTTATCGCCGTCCTTGCTAAATAGTGTGTGATATTGCACAGCTAATTCTAGTCATTAAAATTCTGCAGTGAGTGAAACCAGAATTCTTTCATCAGAATTGATAAGAAAGGGAAATACTCAGGAGGCATAAACCTTTCAGAAAGCTCAATAATGTTTGTGAATTAATTATTTCCAGGTTAGATAAACACCCAGGGGTCAAATTAGTTTTCTTCTAATAATAACCAAGTATTGTTCTGAAATTATAAATTTTATCTTTTGGACATCTAATGTCAGAAAATACTAAAATTCTTTCACAGTAAAGGCATAGCAGAAAGCTAGTTTTGTAGTCTGTCCAATGGACCAAGTCCTGCTCTGTCACTGAGCTTGATCAAGTAATTCTCTCTCTTTGACTACCCATCTACCAAATGAGAGGAGATCTATTTTTTCAGGCTTATTTTAAGGATTAAGTGAAATCTGATACTAAAGCACTAACTTCTGGCATGAAGTAGACTTCCTTTTTAATAAGTTAGCTCTTTCCTCAAGTTTTAACATTTGCATGCCCATTTTATAAAGAAATTCATATTCAGATTTATGACATTCAACAGAAGCAAATTACATCCAAGAGTCACTGAGTACTTATCGCTACACTAGGCACTGGGAACAAAATGATGAATAAGACGTAAGCCCTACCTGAAAGGAACTCATGGTTCAGTAAGGGGAGATGGACATGAGACAACAAAGTGCACCAAAGTGTCAACATCAGTGCAAAAGGAGTTTGCCAAGAAGGGTGTGTGATCAGCCCTGGTCAGGCAAGTATCATGAAAAGGCATCTGCTAAAAAGACTAGTGATAGAAGGCTGTTCTAAGTGTGAGTAAAGGCTTGTAACTACGATAAAGCAGGCTTCACTCAGGGATTATGGTTTGGTAGAGTTGCGACGTTTGGGGAAAACAACTGGGAGAGGAAAGTAATGGCAACAAAACAATAGAATATATAGCAGGGAAGAACTCAGAGCGCATGCTGCAGAGCCAGGAATACACTGTGGGATATGAAGCTGAAAAAGAGACAAGCTCCTATTCATCTTTTTTTTTTAAGATTTTATTTATATATTTGAGAGAGAGCGAGAGCAGGGGGGAGGGGCAGAGGGAGAAAGAGAAGCAGACTCCCCACTGAGTAGTGAGCCAGACATGGCGATTGATCCCAGGGATCCTGGGATCATGACCTAAACCAAAGGTAAACACTTAACTGCCTGAGCCATCCAGGTGCCCCAAGCTCCTATTTATCTTTTACTAAAATCATACTGGCAACAAGAAGAAGGATGAACTCAAAGAGTACAAGACTGGAGCCACAGAGAACTAAAAAGGTGTGGCAATGGTTCATGTGAAAAGAACAGCCTGCGCTGGGACAGTATGAGGAAGAGAGACAGAAAAGCACAGAACAGTGTTAAGGAATTACAGTGGAGAGGTGTCTTGGCACACCAGGCTGAGGTGAAAGCTGGACAGACAAGGACAGAAAGAGGGGAAAGGGCAAGTTTCTGGCCCAGGCAAGTGAGTCAAAATGAAGACAATCTTGTGAAGAACCAGTGAATCATCCTGTTTTATATAAAATATTTTTTTAGGAGAAGAATTCTAGCCAGGGATTAGGAAGAACTGAAAACATGGGCTTCCAGAACACTCAAGACATGTTAACTTAGGGAGGCTCAGGTTGGGTTTTTTGTTTGTTTTCTTAAGGGAAAAGAGTCTAGGATGACTAAAACCCATTCGGTGCACAGCAGAGGGATGGATGCTATGACCTGCTCCCTTCAGAGTCCATCTTAAGGTAATTAAAAATACACTATTAAATCTGCTTCATCTGGACACTATTCCGGCACAAAATACCAGTTCACCAAGCAACTGTACTTAATTTTGTGCATACAGCAAGCACACAAAACAGCTGGGCAGGGACTAACATTTGTTGGAATAGCAGAGGTGGTAGTAACCTTCAACCATACTTATTCATTCCAGGACAACAGGCAGGAAGCAGCTATTCATCCAAAAAGTTTATTAATCCTACCTATTTTTAAAAGTTAAAATGTATTCAAATATCTCTTCTGCCTTCCAAACTGCTCATCTGAACCTTCAAAAGGCTGCCTGATTACTGTGAATTAAAGCGCACGCCACCCGTGACCCTGAGGCTCCTCACTTACTTCAGTATGCCGATCTTCAGCTGGAGCCCGTGCAGGACTTCTGTGACACCACAGACGTCAGCAAGCAGGTGGTGTGTGGAAACTATCTTTTTGGCATTGAGATGAGAGTAATTTTCTTTTAAAAACGATAACCCACACATTCTCCCATTATCCAACCAATCCTTATCATACCGGTATTTTGCACTCCACCTCTGACCTGTAGATGAAGGTGACATTAAAAGGACAAAGGATTCCACTTATTCAGATTTCCTTCCACTGCCATCTTATTGACACTATTCAGTAAGCAAGGTGAGCTCTGGTACTAAGAACACACTCAAAAGAAGAGCAAGACGGCGTTCTGAGGAGCTGCTGCTGGGAGAGCCCCTCCAACCTCGGGGTCTCCGGCCTGCTATGGAGAACACACTCCATTAAGATGTGCTCGGGGCAGAGGACACCTGCAGAGGAACCTTGAGTGCACGGCTTTGCATTTCTGATGTGTCTGTCATCTGTCCTGTAGAAAGGCTGAGAGGGCTGGACAGAAACTAGACGGGGTACCTGTTCTCTCACAAACATTTGTTTTGAACTGGACGAAATAGAGTTCTACTTAGGCGAATAAGGACCCCTCTTCAGGATCTCACAGGGTCCTATATAATCCTACCAATGTCAATACTATGTCTATTAAATTAGTTGCTTATGTGTCTGTGACCCCTACTATACTGAGACAGTGGAAGGCATGCTTAGAATCAATCATCCTACCTCTTACCAGCATTTGGCAAACAGAAGGCATCTACTAAAGGCTGCTGAATGAATAAACAAATGTCTACATTCATATGGGTCTGAATCATTCTGCTTCCTAATGTTACTTTTTTTTTTAAGTTAGACAAGAGGAGAACCTGACAGGCTTTTATTTGAGAATATCTAGTTATTTTCTACCTGGGTAGCTGGAAGTGTATACAATATGCAAAACCTTGCTACTCAAAGAGCCTCCGGCATGGAGGAAGGCACTGGACAGGGAGTCAAAAGGGACAGGTTTTCATCTCAGTTCTGTCATGTCTACTATTATCCTTGTGCACAAGGCATGAAACCCTCCGTGCTCCAGTTGTCTCATCGGTAACATAAAGGGACAGACCGTGATCATCGGAGATCCCATCTAGCTAAAATGAGCTGGATATGCAACACAGTCAGGAACTTTCTTAAAACCACATCATGAGAGGCGCCTGGGTGGCTCAGTCATTAAGTGTCTGCCTTCGGCTCAGGTCATGATCCCAGGGTCCTGGGATTGAGCCCTGCATTGGGCTCCCCGATCAGCCAGAAGCCTGCTTCTCCCTCTCCCACTCCCCCTGCTTGTGTTCCTTCTCTCGCTGTGTCTCTATCCATCAAATAAATAAATAAATAAATAAATAAATAAATAAATAAATAAATAAATAAATAAATAAAAACAAAAAAAACAACCAGGAGTTACATTCAGAATACAGTTCCATTCAAATAGCCACACATAAACCTATTTAGAAATCAACACACAGGGACACACTACGGGGCTAATTCTTCTCCAGGAAAAAGACATATGTAACTCTGTCCTTCCAGTAATGTAGTAGTTACATTAATGAAATGAGGCTAATGTTCTGGCCTAGGTAATTAACACGGAAAATAAAACTGTAACAAACAATGACAACTATTATAAAATGTCAACACGGAGAAAGAATTTAACCGGTGAAGTAACGGTATCCTACACAGCGGGTACACTACGGAATTGGTACCCAGATCTTCAGGGGCCCGGCCGATAGCACGGGGAGGAGGCTTACCAGGCGGGTCCCTGCAGATGTAGCAGATGTACTGCTCGGGGATGCTCTCCTCCAGCAGCCCCATGCACACGCTGTGCTGCCAGCAGAGACACTCTTCACACTGCCAGAGAACACAGGGGTGCTTACAGTCACAGGTCTGCTCTCCAGACATGACCACAAAACCCCTGCCTTTCAGTTAGCCGTGGCCGTCTCCTGCTGCCACCCACAGCTCCGTTCTTATTCCACACAACGACGCAAGTGCCGATATATGATGAATTTTATATTTGAAAGAGCCGGCTACTTCAAGAACTTCCTCTTGGTACAGCTATTAAAATGTGCCTCTATAGATCACTTAAATCACACCCACACACACACACACACACAAAACTATTGCTCTCATTTATTTCCCACTAAATTTTAGGCAACTACATCCTTAAAACAGCTTATGGAAGTATGGACATTTTTTTAAAAAAAAGACACGTTCATAGGAGTGCCTGTAGCAGTGACTTCTTAAAGTATTACCTGTGTGGTGACCCTATAAATTTGCAGTTCCCTATCTGAGAAAATCTTTGAAAAAGGGGAGAAAAACATTACTCTTCCTCATTCCTGTAACTAACGTTTCCAAATCTTCCAAATGTCATCATAAAACGTGGGTTATGCTTTTTTCTTAGATGCCCTCCCTACAGGGAGAGACGGTTCGTGATGCTTAATCCCTGCAACAATTTTTGACACTAGTGGAAACGTTAATTTCCACATCCGCCTGTTTAAAGGCTACAAACAACAGGGATCCAGGCCAGTAAGAGAAGGGCTGCTATGCTCTACCCTTCAATGTGGATGCTCACCCACCCTAATGGCTTCAAAGAATGGAATCCAGAATTTCAGCTTGAAGACCTCAAACTCAACACTCTCGTGTAGGGAGGGGGATCCTTAGGTGAGAGAGCAGTCTACTTCATTTGAAGAGATTTTCTCATCATTACTGCTGGGATTTTAAACGTGAGAAGCAAGAGACCTGTCTTCAATAGGACCATGAGTGACAAAAGAACACGGAAGCCCTGATGTACTTGCTTAGCACCTGAAATAATTATTTGCTACAACAGGGAAGACTGGTTACCTGGATCATGAAGCCGTTCTCCTCATCCATTTCACAAATACACCGCACAATCTCATTAAGAGCATCATCTTCATCCTGAGATTCCTCAAAATTGGTTGAATCAAAGTCCTGATTGTACTCATCCCCACTGAGAAGCAAACTCTCTGTTGAAGAATCATCTAGGAATTCCACATCTGATAAGTCTAGAATATACACAAAAGTATACTCAGCATTTATTTTCCTACGTTTGTGTCATTTTTCCAGATAGAAAGGAGCTAAAGGAAGTGATTATAAGCTATTAGGTATTTAGAAAGGAAGGCCAAACAAATGGGATTAGAGTAGGTCTCTGAACAAAGAAACAAATGATTTTTGAAGCTTACTAGGTAGTTATGATTGACTTTATATCTTAAGATCTACACTATTATTACAAGTAGCTTGGAAAGTATCCCTTAGTCTTGGTGCTTATCGAGGTTATGGCTAAGGTTGATAATAATTCAAATTTGCATAGTTTTCAAATGCTTTCACAAACGTTAGTCCTTTTCATCCTCCCCAGAATCAGGGGTCGTAAAAATAACGGATTTTATTCTTTGTACCACAGCCAAGGCACTTCAGCGAAAGGAAGGAGACTGCCTGGAGTCTAACACCAATGCTACTATTCTTAACGGTGTCAGTATCTTCAGCCACCAGTGCACTTAACTATGTGGCAGGTAGTACACTAAGCACTTCAAATAGAAGACCGATTATTTGATCGAGTAGTGCGGCCAGCTAATGGTGAAGCTGACTGCGTAGCAGGACTACCTGACTCCAGAGCCTACGTTCTCAATAATGTCACCACTATTCCTTAAATTGAGATCAGAAGTTCCCCAAGGAATTTACAAATTTTCAAAATTTCACTTTGATTAAAATCTTCTAAAAATAAGTATATTCTAGAAACTAGATCGTATAGATGACCACTACATATACGTCAACTTAAATGCCAGGTTTTAGGTTTGTATTTGTAGCAGTGTTGATGTCAAAGATGACAATTTAGCCCAGGCCATTGAGAAAAAAAAAAATCAAGGCAAACGCAAGGAAATATTTATTTACGACAAATTACAGGACACTAAGTTTCGGCAGGAGTGTGGATGGAGGAAGGCGGGAGCCGCATGGTCGAAGACCTGCCAGCTTCTGTGAGGCACCTGGAGGCCAATCCGCAGAGCACCTGAGTGACAGAGGCGGCTCCTTCTGCCTCAGTGTCTCAGCCTCTAGCCACAGTCTGTGCCACTCCTTCACCTGCTCCTTACTCACCTCCCTCTGTAGGGTATCAACAGGCCGAGGCAGGAAGGGCTCTGTACTGCTGAACGTTCCATAGCCAGTGCTTAGAATGAAGCCTGCGATACATAGTAAGCCGCTCCAGAACGCTTCTGGAGGAGCCAAGGAGGGAGTCCATAGCCAGAGAAAATTCTCTTTTCAGACGATCAGACCACAAAGAAGTTGGCCAAATGCAAACTAAAAAAACTCCTGCTGTTTATATTTTGAGTATTTCAAGACTTAATGCTTCTTCTACCAGCTTCTAATCTGATTTTTTTCCTGTTTTTGAATGTTTTATTTTTGCCTTATGAAGAGTTAATGTTTTACAGGAAAATAAACATTTTCTTTCCTTTAGGGTCTTAGGACATCTTGGAGAAAGTGAGGTCAGTAGAAATGGTATTAGAGAAATACAGGAAAACTTTCAAGGCGTAAACAATTAGGCATTATAAAATCCTTCTAATAATAATATGAGGAAATTATTGAGGGGAAAATATGAGGGGAAATTTCATTCATTCATCATCTTACTATCTTAAATCCAAAATTAGTGTTTTCTCTTGGGCCTTCCGGAATGCAAGTTCAATGTTTCAAAATGGCACGCTAGAACACGAATAAACAGTTTCAAACATTGTTGCAGCATTTATGTGGCGTTATATGGATGGCAATCATAACAGAATTAATAAATTTAAAACTATTATCATTAAAGGAATTAGTGTGTGTCTCACATATGCTTTCATGGCCAAAATAAGCAGGTTTTAATGTGTTAGAATGCAAATTTAACATATTGGCCAGAAAACCTAGTTTGAATAACTAATTCCCAAGCATCAAATAAATGCTTGGCTGAATTCTAGGGGCTGAGTAAATGGGTCCGTAGGTTCAAAGTTAAAAAGAAAAGCAAATAAAAGTTCCCTCTCCTACCGAAATACCACATGGAAAATAGCTCCAACTGAGTGGCCACGGGAACACCATTCTCTTCCAACTGTTACCCCTTGAACTATCATTGCTATTTTCCCAGACACATTCTCTAAGTGTGGATTCCAGATCAGCATCACCTGCAAACTCATTAGGCATCAGGCATTCTGAGGATGAGGCCCAGAAAGGTGTTTTAACAAGCTTTCCAGGTGGTTCTGATGCATGCTAACACTTGAGAACCTCTGGCCGAAGACCTGCGCCCTGTACCAACACCTGTCCTTTCTCCCAGCTCAGAGCTCAGTCACACACGGGGCAGGACGGGGGGGCACACACCCAGGACACCCCTGCCGCCCCCTCTCACGCATCTAGTTCCAGCGGCACTACCAGCCAGATATCCCCTCCGTTCTCCAGCACTCTGTGTAAAGGGTTGACTTTCTGACCTCGCTGCCTCCACCAGGAGGGTCCTGACGTGATTGTCAACCCAAAGAAACACTCAGAAACTCCATCTACCCTCCTGGAAATCTCATTCGTGCTCTGCAGCACCTCTGGATTGGTCATTCCAAAGCATCACAGAGACAGTTTTCACGGACACCTGGGGTGAAGAGCCACTGGCCCAAAAGGGAACACAGGACCTGTGCTTGTTAGAAAAGGAATTTTTCCCTCCTCCCCTCAGTGTTTGAAAATGGTAAATCTCAAAAGTGCCATGTGCTTATTTTAGGAGAAAGGGAAGATGACGCTTTTCCCCACAGTAGGCTAGACAGGAGTTGGGCCTGGAAGAATGCAAATGCTAACCGTGCAAACGAAAACACACCACCTAGGACCTACCATGTCGGGCCCTCAGAAGAAAGGAGAAGGCCGGAGTGAGCTCAGCCGTCAGTATCCCTGGGGTTTTACATAAGATGAAGACCCCGTCCCTTAGTCTAGTCTCCAGCCACTGCCATCAGGGTCTGCATGGGGAGAGTCTCCCCCCACTGCTGAGAGCCCCGGAAGGTGAGCGTGCTCAACCCCACAGCCGCCAGGACGGCCTGCAGGGCAACCTGACAGATTCCGAATCTGCCCGTAAAACACCCATAATCAGTACATAGGAGACACTAGGAGCTTCCTCACCATCTGTCCCACAGTTAATGATAAAAGCCAATTTTACTTTATAGAAGTTAAAGTAGCTCAACTATCTAATGCTGAGATGGTCATATTAGTTTACGGGATAACTTCTTAAATGGTGTAAACAGATAAGCCCTCACTGAAGTATGTTTCCAGCTCAGTTCCCCATTTAAGAATCTTAAGACTCGTTTAAGCATTACATGATTACACATACTTTCACCACTAAGATCAACTGACAAAATTGCCCTTGGGTACTGATATGTTGTATTTTTCTCCGTGAACATGCTTCGCAGAGCCAGAGAATTCCCAGAAGATCGAGTTAGTGGAGAAGAGCACCTTTCCAGAAATTCTAGAGAACTGTCTTCATAGTCTGAATAGTCTGTAACATAAGATACATAAAGAAGTATTAATAAAGTGTCAGGTCAGCAGGAAGAGTCACTTTATAAAAACTAACAAGAAAGTTACATTTTACAAGACATAAAATAACCATGCCCCCTCCTCCCTTACCCACAAACAGCTAGATGGTGGTATATCTGATAAAGTGGGCTGGGCAAGAACACCCGGGGAACTGTACCCCAGCCGTACACACATACCACCAGGGAACACCATGTTCTAGCTGGTACCAAAAACTCTTGTTAGCCAGTCCAGACGTGAAAAAGGATTATCTCTACAGTCTCTCTCCATTATAATCACAGCTGTTTACAGTAAGATTTGCAAGACGGAAATTAACTTTGTTTTTGCAATTTGTAAAGAGGTGCTCATAATGTGTAGCATGTCAATCATTACACTGATAACTCAATTGATACATTTTTCTTTTTTTTTTAAGATTATTTATTTATTTTGAGAGAGCGAGAATGAGAGAGAGAGACTACATGAGTGGGGGAGGGTCAGAGGGAGAAGCAGGCTCCTCGCTGAGCAGGGAGCCCGATGCGGGACTCGATCCCGGGACTCCGGGATCATGACCTGAGCCGAAGGCAGTCGCTTAACCAACTGAGCCACCCAGGCGCCCCAATTGATACATTTTTCAGCAAAAAACATCTGAATGAAATTAACTGGTCCTCCTGAAAAAAAAATTAATCCAAGTCCTGTCTTCCTCAGCTTAGCATGAGTCCTGCAGATGGAGGACAGGGAGGAGCCACCTGCAGCTTCCAGGAGAGCAGGGTGTGATGACAGGGACAGACAGGAGAGGCCAGGATTCGGGGCCCTGGGAAGGCTCTGGAGCAGAGGAGAGCCTGGCGCATCTGACAATCTGAGACCGAGGCTACAGCACAGTGAGGGAGAGAGAGAAGAAATGAGGCTAGAGGGGCAGGAGCGGATCTGGTTAAACACGTCCTTATTTTTGAGTTTTATCCTAAATGCGGCAAAAAGAGCGTGACCCAAGTCTGATTCCGGTTTTCAAAGCCTACAGGAGCTATGGAATGAGGAAGGGGGCAGGGAGGTGCAGGCAGGAGGCGCCACGGCCTGGCCTGGGAGGAAGGCAGCCGGCCTGAAGGCTGACAGGCAGATGCAGCGACCCGCAGATCTGAAGACTGGCGTCAGCAGGGCAGTTTCCAGGCTTTTGCTTGAACTACCAAGAGGCAGAAAGAGGGGCTCTGAGATGGAGCTGAAGAGTAAGAGGGAGGAGAAACCAGAGAAGGAATGCGGGTCTGAAGGAGACTGATGGATTATTTTATTTAAAGATTTTATTTATTTTAGAAAGAGAAAAAGAGCCCGGGAAGGGGGTGGGGGGAGGCGCAGAGAACTTGGGAGAGGAGGAGGGAGAGTCCCTGCTGAGCTTAGGGCCCCACTTGGGGCTCAATCCCTGGACCTTGAGATCATGACCTGATCTGAAACCAACAGTAGGACACTCAACAGACTGAGCCACCCAGGCACCCCCAGAGGAAGGCTTTTTAAAGATGGGCAATCCTATACTTCGTCTACAAAAATCTAAAAATGAGGGGAGGCAGGTTGACAAATGCCAGGATTTTAAGAACAGAAAGACAACTGCCTCCATTATTGTAGAGGCAAAGCAGGAGATGATGGACATACATAGCTAAGCACATAGTTGTGGAAAGATGGGCAAGTTCTCAGCTGGTGGCTTCTATTTCCTCAACTGAGTAAGAGGCAAAGGACACCTGAGGCAAGTTAGGGAATAGAAAGAGGTGGAAAAGACTGGAAGAGGTGCAGGAAAGGTCAAGAGTAGCAAAGCAAGTTTCCAGGACAGCAGTACCAATGCTGGTGTGCAGTGAGTATTCATCTAAAGTCGGTGGTTGCGGTGGACAAAACAATGGTCCCCAAAGACGTCCACAACCTAATCCTCAGAACCTGTGACTGCGTTAGGTTCTGTAGCAAAGGGGAATTAAGGTTGCTAATCTGCTGACCTCAAAATTATCCTGGATTATCTGGGTGGGCCCAAAGTAATCACAAGAGTCTCTAAAGGCGCAAGAGAAAGTCAGAAGAGTCAGCGTTGGAGTGATGTGAAGTGCGAAAGACTTGAGTGGCTGCTGCTGGCTTTGAAGATGGTGAGGACATGTGCCAAGACACGCAGAAGCCTCTAGAAGCTGGGAAAGGCTTCTTGGATTCTCCCCTAGAGCCTCCCAGAAGGAGTCCAGTCCTGCTGACACCTCCGTTTCAGCCCACCGAGACCCATGTTGGACTTGTGACCTTCAGAACTTGAAGATAATAAATTTAGGTTGTTTTAAGTCACTGATATGTAGTATTCTGTGACGGCCGCCAACTGGACACTACCACAGCACTCACCGCTGAATACTACAGCCCGGCCACATCTCCTGGGCGCCCCCTGTGTGCTAACCATGATTCTAAGCGCTCTAATCCTCACAGTTAATACAACAAGGAAGCTACAACTGCTAGTGCCATTTTACACGTGGAAGAACAGAGACAGAAAAGGTTAAACTGCCCAAGAAGACATAGCTATCTTTACAAAGCCAGCCTTCAAACCCAGAGAGCCCGACTACAGAGCCTCTTAACCAAAACACGTTACCAGTGGATTTCAACGCAAACTGGAAAGCTCGTTAAAGCAGATTCCTGGGCCTCACCACCAGCAGGTCAGGAGTGGGGATCCTCCCGGATGCTGCGGATGGTATGAGACTGCAGAGCGATCCTGGAGTAGCACGGGGCTACTGTGTCTCTCCTGGCCCCAGTCTCTACACAGCTTGCCCCATGCCCTGTCACTTGGGCACAGGCATGGAAAGGGCATCTGCTGAATGCTAGCTAGCACTCTATTAAGTAATTACAATGATTACCTGATTGAATCCTAAAAATAAAGCCACATGGCAGAAACTATTATTACCATTTTATACGTGAAGAAACTGACATTTACACAATTTAAATAACTCACCAAAGGGCACCCAAGCTATAAGCTTTGCAGTGAAGATCTGAACCCAACGCTCCGCTTTGAAAGCTGCCCTTTTATCGATGACGTGCTATATTGCCCTCTCAGCAAAGTAAATGTACAAGTACAGCCTGAGTGTAAGAATAATGGTGCAAGTCTCAATTACATGTGACAAATAAAACAGGCTGCTATTATATAAGCACTCTACGGGGTATTAGCAACAGAACAGAACTCGGCACTCTGCACCACACCTGCATTCCCCATGCCAGTCCCTGGGGCTACTGGGAATAAAGCTCCGCTGCTGGCTTCAGGGTTAGATCAACTGTAATCCGCCACATGAAGCCCCTTCCTTGATCACTCCAGCTTCTCTACACTACAGACAGAACTTACTTTGTATCACCGTTACCTTCCCAGTAAATATTTGCGTGTGCTTCTTATCACTCTTACGATATGCTGATAAGGCTTGCCTACAAGCCCCTGGAAGGGAGTGTCTGTTTTCACAGCACAATGTTCTAGATTCTCCTTGAATTTCTCATTCTAGTTCTTTTAAATCTCTGTATGCCTTCGTTTTTTAAATATTTACAGACACAGGAAAGACAAAGAGATGACGTGACTGGCTCAACGGGACAAAGGGAAAAACTGGCAAAGATGTCACTCAGATCCCAACATGGCCGTTTCTCGTACGGACAACCGTCAGAACTTACTACGCCAGTAGAGACAAGTAAAACCTGCTAGAGGGAAGAATGCACAATCTAGCAAACACTCTCTAAGGCCCAGGAAGTAACAGAACAGAGCATGATGGTTCAAGCTACAACTAAGACTGAAGCCAGACTGCCTAGGTTTGAATCTGCTTTTCACCACTCAACAGCCGTGTGAGCTTGGATGACTCTATTTGTTTCCGTTCACGGCTTCTAAAATGGGTATAAGAGGCTCCACTGTTAAGCATTAATTAATGTGAAGATGAAATAAACCACTGTATATAAAATGCCTACAGCACGTTTGGTACATAATAAGCACCAGCAGGATATGCAAAATAACAGTCAGTGTTAAGAAAGAACTTTTAAAACTCCCTAGTGGTAGTAACTGTAAAATAAAATGCATATTATATTAGGAACCTCAAGTAGGAATAATGTGAATGTTTTAAAATTAAGATGTCTTTAAAATTTTAAAGTTATTTAAAACCCCCTATTTCCAGCTTAAAGACCCCTCTTCTATTTTAATCTGGAAAAGTGTCACTTCCAAGATGAATATAAATAACCCAGAATAAATTCTCAAATGTAATAATTAATTGCAAAGATGCCTGTGATTACCCAACTCCACACCTGCTGAGTATAAAAAGCAATGCTTCTGTGCATCTTTAAGTATTTGCTAGGATTCTATTTACAAAGTTAAGATTTTCATGTATAGGTCTGATTTTAAAATGCAAACAAGATATAAAGTTCTTTTCAATTAAAAAATAAAAATATATTAACATGTTTTAAAGGGTTAATGGCTCTTTAAAAGTAGGGGTAGCGTAATTGCGGAACACAACTCTGAGGTGCCAATTTTCTCGGTAACTTTTTCTCTCAGTCTTACTAATCTGGATCGCCCTCTTTCTTCTAAGTCACCAACCACCACCTCCTGCATTCTCAACGCTCTCTTACTGTGCCCCCAAGTGTGGCCCACTCCTCATCTGTTCTTGGCCAGCACCTCGCTGTCACCTTCCCTCCGCGTGCAGGGGATCTTAGCACACTCCGATTTGGTGTCTGCTGGTGAGTCCTGGAGTAGACCTTTATGCTGCCGCGGCAGAAAGGAACCTGAACAGCCCGCCCTTCCTGCCCTGAGTCCTGGCCGGCCCCGCTGCGGTACCCGAGTCCACCAAATCCCCTCAGCCTCTGGTCACTCGGGAGTTCACCTGGCAGTTTTACCTGTGGTTTGAAGCTTCGCAAGTCTGCATGATGATACACTCTCACAGGAGGGTATTCACAAATCAAATGTGTTTGTGATTAATGGTTTTTGTTCACAATGCTCCAGAGTTTCCTGACTTTAGGTTCTCTGGAGTCTGGGCC